TGCCAGCTGGCGCCATTCATTAATGGGAGATGAGCATTGAATGCGGTTTGATGGTTACAGCCTGGTTAACTGGGGCCGGGGTGCTCAGCGCTTCCAGAGGGGCGTTTGCAGGGATCGTTGTCAGATGGGAAAGCACAATAGAGTTCGTTTATAAAATTAGCCCATAACGTTGCCTGAATTGCTGTTTTCTCCTTGCTTTGGGGTAAAAAATCTCAGGGTGGGGATGAGGGCTTGGCTGCCCCGTGTCCGTGGGGATGCTGGACATAACATTTCCCATTTCATCATCCCCAGGCTGTGGAAAGGGCAAGGCAGGTGATGGCTGGCTCTGGGAGATGGGAGTGGGGAGGAGAGCTCTCCTGCAGCCCCCGCAGGACCGGATCTGAACCAGGAGGAGCATTCTCCATGAATTTATCGGGACATGGAGCTGGCTCTTTACAGCAAGGGCAGTTCTCCCCGCTGCCACGTGGGGCCAGGGACCCGGGGGAGATGCTCTGCCCTGGGGGAGATGCTCTGAATTCGGGTCAGCAGGGAGCAGCGAGGGCCATGCCAGCCCCAGGTCCATCCCTGAGCAGCCACACCCAGGGATGAGCATCCCAACTTCAGTGGGAGCTGGACTCAGTGCCATGATGCTGGTGTGTGGACCAGGGACCCAGAACCATCCCAACCTCTTCGAGGGCTGGTGCAAGGACAAAGCCCAGCCCCACACACTGGATGAAACCGGGCCTGTTCCTGCACCCAAAGGCTGTGAGCACTGCAGTCTCACGGAAGACGTGGCAACTCAGGGCTCGGTGTCCCTGACCCCTCTCTCCCAGCCCTGGCCAGGGTGCAGCACCCTCCCCAAGGCAGGCAGGGGGGCACTGCTGGTCACACGGAGTGGGACCTCACACCTCAGCATATCTGCCTCACCAGCGACGGCAAAATGGGGCAAAAAACCCAACTAAAGGGATCCCTCCACCCGCCTGCGACCCAGGCATCGCTCCCCCATCCCTGGCCCCGAGCTGCCACCCCGGCATTATCCAAGGCCATGTTGCAGTGCTGTGGCTCTCACC